GAGCACAGGGCATTGCAAGGCTTTCCAGGAAGAATTTCACAGCCTACCAGGAAAAACAATGGGTTTGGTGTTCAAAATTTCATGAGCTGCTGGTCAAAAAAGGGAAGACTGTGTCAGTGGGGGAGAAGAGGTGGAAAAGAGAGCATCCCAGGGACACAACAACGTCCAGGGATGCCACAGAGGTGAGAGCCATGGTGATGACATACATACACGGGTTTTCATCCTTTGGCTCAGTGCCAGCAAGAATCTTTAGAGTTTATCAATAATTCTTAGGTTGTCACTGGTTAAATAAGTGTATTTGGGTTTAGCAGCAGAGGGGCTGTGGGGGTGGCTTCTGCAAGAAGCTGCCAGAAGCTCCCCCAGTGTCCAACAGAGTCAACTCCAGACAGCTCCAAGTGAGACCTACTGCTGGCCTTAGCTGAGCCCACCAAGGACAGTGGTAGCACCCCTGGGGTAACAGAGTTAAGAAAGGGGAGGAAAAACCTGGCAAAACAACAAATGGAGACAGGAGTTGGAATATGTGAGAGACACAGCACTGCAGACACCAAGGCCAGTGAAGAAGGAGTGGGAGAGTGTGCTCCAGGAGCAGATGGATGCCAGAAGGAGGCTGTGACCATGTGGGAAGCCTGTGCTGGAGCAGGATCCTGGCAGGACCTGTGGCCCCATGAATTCAGAAGCCCAGCTAGAGCAGGTTTGCTGGCAAGACCTATGACCCCCACGAGGAACCCATGCTAGAGCAGCCTGTTCCTGAAGGACTGCACCCAATAGAAGGGACCCACACTGGAGCAGTTCATGCAGAACTGCAGCCATGGGAAGGACTCACACTGGGGGAAGTTCATGGAGGACTATCTCGCATGGGAGGAACCCCACACTGGAGCAAGGGCAGAGTGTGAGGAGTCCTCCCTCTGAGGAGGAATCAACGGCAGAGAAAACATGATGAACTGACCACAGCCCCTATTCCCTGTCCCCCTGTGCCACTGCTGGGTGGAAGGGAGAGAAAATCAGGAGCAAGGTTGAGCTCGGAAAAAAGGGTGGGATGGGGGAAAATTGTTTTTAGGATTTCATTTAATTTCCATTGTCCTACTTTGATTAGATTGGTAGTAAATTAAACTAATCTTTCCCTGTCCTTATCTCAACCCAAGAGCCTTTTTTACATTTTCTCTCCCCTGTCCAGCTGAGATGCGGAGTGATAGAGCTTTGGCAGGCACTTGGTATCCAGCCAGGGTCAACCCACCACAATAACTAAGTCAACATTTTCTTTTTCCATAGGACTTTTTTCCCAAAAGTTCTTTGGTTATTTTGAAAAGACATGAAGTATATGGAACTGAATTGGTACCATGTTATGGTGCTGTAAAGCCATGGAAAAGCAGTGAATCAGGTGCTCAGTCTCAGTAGCCCTCACAAATTTTTGTTCAGGCCATCATGGAGTTCAAATAACTATTTGGAACACTTATAAAATGAAGATGAAATGCATAAGGAGCCACGAGAGACTTACAGAAAGGCATACAGCACAACCAAATCCTTCCCATTTTTAATATTCCTATTTCTCCTTCTAAACTTTTTCTTTAAACTGAAAAATAACGAGAAAATGTGCTTCCTTGACACAAGTCAGTACTATCAGTTAAACAACCTCAAATTCACTGTGGCACTCCAAGTGCTCTGGAATGCTTTTCAGCCCAGAGGATAATAGTATTAGACGACCAGAAAGGCTGTCCTGTAAAAGACTGTTATTATGATTTCCAGTCTCAGAAGTTGGCTTAATCCAGCTGAGCACACACATGTTATTTAGAGAGGAGACTGAGCTCAGACACTAGTATCATCGTCATCTTTATTGCAAATGAAGGGTTCAGCCAGTGAAAGGCAAGTCACGTTTTTTTATCCTAAGCCCTGCAAACACTGGCTGTTGCACTCGTCTTTGCACTCTACAGCAATAGTCGAGCTGCTGAATGCTGAGCTGTTTGCACAGATTTGCATCTGTCTAAAAAATCCTGTTTTCTCTCTTGTCACCTAATCAATCAAATGGCAAAAGATGCACTCCCTGCACCCTCCAAGGAAAACAGCTTTGTGCCCACACAAAAGGCAAAGCGTGAGCATAGGGGTTAATGAGAGGTGGTAAGCTGCGAACTGTGTAACAGGAACATTTTTTCTTTCTTCTGTCTGCCTGAAATTTCATGCTGCTCTTCCTCTGTCTGTGGAACAAAAGAAGAAGAGGCAATGATGCTCAGAGTTGGGAAAAAAATAATCTGGGATTGTACCCTGCACAAGAAAAATATGTTTGGAGGATTACTTGAGGGATTTGTACCTTGACTTGAGCAGGGAATGCTGCACAGCTTTTCTCCCAGGGTTTAGGCAGAACAGCTCCTTCCCAAAGGATCAGTTCTCCCACCCCAACCTCTCCAGGTGAGCAGGACCCAACTCACACCCCCCAGGTGAGCAGGACCCAACTCACATCCCAGCCATCCAAGGACTGGCAGTTTGGCACCAACCTCTGAGCTTGCAAATGGCATCATTGTCTGGAATTGCTGGAATCTGCCCGTGCCAAAACCTGATAGGACCACTGCTGCCCCATCAGTAGGGTGGGGGTGAGCCCTCTGACCCCATCCTGTTTGCCCCAGGAGGGATATTGCACTTCGTTACACAGCACCTGAAGTGAAGGTTCCTCTGTGAGTATCCAGCACAGATGACTGAATTCCACCTATTCGGTCTTTCACCAATATTGTCTTTGCTGACACTCCTCCTCGACACCACACCCTCAGCTGCACCTTTGCTTGCCAAAACAGCTTGGCCTCCCTCTGTCCTTCCAGTTGCCTCCGAAAGAAGGAGCCACTGGGCACTTAGATAGCTGAGTGCCAGGATGGGGGTGGCAGTGGCTTCCCCACCTCAGTCTCAGGGGAAGCAGCTCAAACAAATTGATACCCCAATGAGCAGCAGCTCTTCCCAGGCAAACGCTCCTTCCCTGGCACATTTTCCCATGGGAGACAAGCACAGGGGCCTTAAAATAAATCTGTCTTTTTAAAGCAGCGATGCTAAATGAAGGTTTGAGATCAAAGGCTGGGATTCTCACATTTTGCCAAGACAGACATATCCATTCACGAGATTTTTGGTGTAACAAAATACTTGCTAATGAAGAGGATCATAATCTTATTATTAGCCCCAACCTAGCACAGTGTGTCATTTGAGAGTAGGCTGGAATATGTCCTAGTTTAGGAAGTTGCACAGTAGGCTTGGCTTTTGATTTAATGAGCTGTGATTGTGTTTATTTTCAGCAGAAACTATGCCCGTTAAATTTTGGTTGAAGGTCTGATCGTTAACGACAGTAATCGATGGGAAGAATGAATTTGGGTTGAAGGGAAGGAAAATGGGGACTGTATGTTTCTGAGAGTCAGTCCCCAAGCACGCAGACTCAAAGCAGTCAGCAGACTCTGAGCTTCCTCTGCTTTTGCATTGCTGAGTGATGGGTTTTGAACTACTGGTCAAGTCAGCTGAGGGGATTTAGACATGAAAAAAGTAAGAATTTTGCAGTTATGGAGTGGGGCACAGAGACGAGGCAGGTGTAGGAAATCAACTGTGGGGGCCAAACTTGCCTCTTGAGGGATGATCCATGGTAGGACAAGGTCATTAGCTGGCCTCTGCTATTAAGATCCCAGAAATTTTAAAATGGGGGGACATGTCAGCAGTGTGCAACAACAGAACAAAAAAAGACAGACAAGCAAAATGGAGATGAAAGGGGAAGAGAAATATAAATGGAGATGCATACTTTGAAAAAAAAAATTGCTACAGCAGATCTGGTTAGCGTAGGCACTGCTCTGGAGTGAGATGGGGCCCCATGTGGCAGGCTCTCCCCAGATTAACAGCCCCACCACAATGCAGTGCTGTTGCCTGTCTGGATAGCTGGAGCTGGGCCACTGAGCAAGAAAGGCAGGGCAGGACAGGTCACAACTCAGACATCCCCCCTTCATGCTCTTTTTGCAGTTGTTTTTTTCTCAGCTTCCAGCCTGGTGAAGGATGCTGTGCTTGGTGTTTGACACCATCAGCCCCAAAGGGATCCAGCACAGTTTATTTTCCAGCATTAAGGAGTGCACACACAGACACATGCATGAGCATGTATGTACAGGCAGGACATCCATAAGGGGCATGAAGGAAACACAGACATGGACAGACACATGAATAGAACACATAGCTAGTTGTAGCACTTAAAAGCTTGCCATGTACAATATTCAGATGAGTAAACAGATGCAAATGAGCATTGCTACCAAGCAAAATTTCCTATAATCCTACTGTACTTCAGATGTTCCAAAAAAAAACAAAAAACAAAACAAACAAACAAAACAAACAAAAAACCCCAAGCATGTCAAATTAGAGGAAACAGAAGAAATCTGAGAGATGCATCCACTTCAGAGGTAAAGGCTCAAGGTATCTGTGACCTTATTAAATGAAAATTTTTAAAAACACTGTGCAGCATTTCCTCCTCAAGTCAAAGGCAAATCCTTTGCCCTCGCTGAGCCTGCACCAGGCCTGTGCTTAATGTTCCCTTTCCCAGGCTGTGCCCAGCCCGGACACGAGACTGTTGCTTTGTGCCAGGCAGTGAGATGTTTAGCAGAGCAATACCGAACAGCAGCTTGTCAGCTCCGGCGCCTGTGAATTCCTGTGGCAAGTGTAAAAAAGCAGTTAACATGTTGTTCTATTTTAAAAGCTGTTTTTTTATGACGGTCTTCTCTCTGGGGGACATCCCTCCTCTCCGCCACGGCGCTCAGGGGGTTTGTGTCCCCTACACCCCTGCACGCCCCTCTCGGGAGCTGGACACCAGACCCGCGGGTGGGGTGGAGGGGGCCGGGACTGGGGCAGGAGGTCACAGCCCCCGGGAGCTCCGGCGGCTGCTGGGCAGCTCAAGGGGTTCATTGTGCCCGGGATGGGGGCGGTCCTGCCCTCCTCGCCGGCCGGGGCCGGGAGCGGGGCGGGCCGGGGCGGTGCAGCCCCCTGTTGGGGCCGGGGCCGGGGCCGGGAGCGGGGCGACAGCGGAGCCCGGGGCAGCTCTCCATCCCGCGGTAGCCATGGCAGAGGGCTCCGAGAAGGTGCCCATCGCCCACGCGGGGCCCGACGATGTGGAGCTGTGCCTGCCCCCCGTGAGTGCTGCCGGGCGGGACCGGGCGGGATCGGGACAAAATGAGTCGGGAGACAACAGGACCGAGCGGGTCGGGATGGGATGGGATGGGACGGGTCTGGTCGGGAGGGAACGGGACCAGTTAGGTATCGGGATAGGTCGGGTCGGGACAGGTCGGGATGTAACGGGACGGATCAGGACAAAAGGAATCGGGTGGGATCGGATCCGGACCGAACAGATCGTGATGGGGTCGGATCCGGTCAGGCCCGGGGGTCAGGATGGGTCGGGGTCCGAACGGGGGTGCTGGTCCCGCCGGGCCGGGGTCTGTGCCCGCCCGGGGGTCCCCGCCCCGTCCCGCCCCAGCCCCGCTCTCTCCGCAGGCGTACGCGGTGGCGGCGGCGCCCCCGGGGCCTGGGAGGCTGCTGAAGGCCGGGGCCGCGGTGCTGATCGCCGGAGCGCTCCTGCTCTTGGCCGGAGCCATCGGCGCCTTCTACTTCTGGAAAGCCACGGAGCGGCAGGTGAGCGCGGCTGGCGCCGGGCCCGGCGGCACGGTCCGCACACGGAGGCGGGCGGGCTTGGAGCTCTTGCACGTACGGAGAAGGCATGGGCTGGAAACCCTTCTTGCGAGGTCTATAAAGAGGTCTTTATTTTTCTCTTGTATTTTTTTTCCCCCCATGCTTTCAAAAATCCCAAACACCTAAAATCCAAACCCATGATCGCTATCTTTGGTGGCTGTTTGGATGAAGATTCCTGGAAGCACATTCACTAGCAAACACGAAACATCTTTGAGAGCACAGACTCTACATTGATTTCTGTTTGCAAATGCTCAGTGAACTCAAACCCCAACAAGTCCCCAGGGATTCATATCCTGGGCAAGCTCCAGCTCTCAGAACAAAAAAAGCATTGAAACGTGTAAATTCCTTTTTCACATCATCTGCATTCTTGATCCACATTCTACCTGGACCCTCAAGTATATAATGCTATCATTAACCCAGCAACAGGTACCGTTGTTTGACTCTGGTGCTTTGTATGACTGTGCATACACTTAGGCACTTATGCTGAGTAGCTGTGAAGCAATTTTTAAAGTCTTGGTAAATTTTGTTATTTACAGTTTCTGGAGCACACGAAAACGACTGTTGGTCTTACACTGTTAGTCAGTGTAAGAACCAAACCTCAGAGCGTTAGAACACGTTTACAGATTAACTTTTCTTTCTGTTTACATAGTATTTGTGTTTAAAGCATATTTGAAACATGATGGTACATACATAAGTGTAACTTTCTCCATAAATTAAGTTAGTATCCTTGAATTTACTTTGGAAGAAGTTTTGTGCCGCCTCCGGCCACACGCCAGTCCTCATCAAGGAGAGCCTTGTGTGAATTCCAGCAACCAGAGCAGAGGTTCCTCTGTGAGATACATCCACAGACACAGCGATAATTCAGCTAATCACAAAGAAAAGTACAAGGTTTTCCCCCCAGGAAGACAGGACACACTGCTGACCTCCAAGACATGCTGCAAGGGCCATCTACTTCTCTAGGCTTTTGAAAAGAGAGAGGGACACAAATGGGGATGTAGGCTTGGGGGGGATACTGTGCATTCAGCTCTGAGCAGGTAGGTGCAGGTAGGAGTACAGGACAAAGTTTCACCATTTTTTATTGCTCCCATCATTTAAATTCAGCCTTGCAAAATACATCACATTCATAGCAGTCATTGAGCTTCGACGTTGATCTCTTGATGTGAAGTTGATCTCCTAGTGAAGACATTGAGAAACCTGAGAGTTATTTTTTTCAAGCTGCCTTCAAACTCAGAAAGCTGCACTTGACTTGCAAACGTTTAGGGAGCAACTGTAAAAATTATATTCAGAGTCACTCATTAAAAAAATAAGGCACTTTTTAATCCTTATTTTTATTTTATATTTTAAAATCCTTCCTTAACTGACAGGGGTATCAAAGTCTCTACTCAAGCTCAGCCCCTATCAGGGGAGGCTGCATAGATTGGTCTGGTTCTTAGAACCACATTCAAGAGGAGTCCTAGACAGCTAAGAATATTGGAGCAACTCTGTATAACTGAGGAACCATGAATCTTTAGCACCTTAGACTTTCCTGAGCGAAGGTGTGAGAAGAAGAAAATTGTCTCTAGCTGTCAGTGTAAATTTTTCATTAAAATGCTGCCAAGGCTCTTTTAAGACCCAAAATAAACTGCTTGTGCAGCACTTCTGGCAGAGCTGCACAAGAGAATCACAAAACCCCTCCACAGATTGTGGTCCTCCAGCATATACAAACCACGCTGCAGCTTTCCTCATTGAAAATAGGATAAGAGCAAATATGCTGACAAGGAAAATACAAGCCTATACAACTTCACATCCAATTTAAACAAAGTTCACATCCATTACAAGCTGGGAAGTGTGTTCGTGTTCAAGAGGAACCTGTTTTTCTGTGCCTCAGCAGAACATCCTAATACATAAAACAGGGCTTGGTCTCCTTCCGAGTAGGACATTCACTCCTGCTCTCCTTTGGGAATCATGCCAACATAACAAGCAATTCCTAAAATATGACCTAGAAGAATGTTTTTAGGTGAGAATGAACCTGGATGTGGACTCACCCCACACTGTGTTTGAGCAGAACTGTGAGCACTCCCTACAAGGGGGACTTCAGGAGGTCTCTAGTCCAACCTGCTGCTCAGAGCAGGGACAGCTGTGAGGTCAGAGATGGTTCCTCAGGGCTTTATCTAGTTGGGCCTTGAAAAATTCCAAGAATGGAGACTGAACAACCTCCCTGGTCTAGCTGCCCCACTGCCAGCCTGCCCCGATGGTGCAGTAGTGCAGTGTTGATTGTTGGAGGGTTGTCAGATGCTTACAAAAGCAAAAGTTAGCAGCTAAACAGGGATATGACAGTCAGATTGGCCCACTGCCTAGTGTAGGAGGAAAGCAATAAGCAACTAGTAACATTTGCTGTTGCTCTTTTTATGATTCCAGGTGTACAACGTTCACTACACTATGAGCATTAATGGAAAAGTACAAGATGGATCAATGGAAATAGATGCTGGAAATAACTTAGAGACATTCAAAACGGGAAGTGGGAGTGAAGAGGCTGTGGAAGTTCACGATTTTCAGATTGTAAGTACTGTCACCCTTGTCCCTCATGCAACATGCTCCACTGCTGGACTCTAAGGACACCTCGCCTTGCCCTGACTTCTCTGCCCCAGTCAGCCTCAGGTTCCAGTCAGCCTCCAAACATCCACACAAACATTCTTACTCTCCTGACTTGCTTTCACAGGGAGATAGGCACTGTCCTGTCTAAGTGCTTTTTGGGAATAAGCCATGCCAGTTACCACTCTGGGAAGTAGTATGGATTAGGCTGCATCAGATTTGGCTCCATGTTAACATTCTGCATTTTAAAACCACTGAGCAGAACTACAACATGCAACCTTGAGATCTGTCTAGAAAAACATTCTGGCAGGCTGTGAAACAACCCTTGCATGATTTCCTGTCATTTGAACTGGAAAAACCACCTCCCCCAAAACATACCTGCTTTAGGAGCATAGGTCATAGTAAGCCAAGTAGACACTAAGGAGAGACCACTATACAGCACTTGACCTGGGGAGCTTGCTCTGCCCTAAGGTAAAGGATGGGGGCTGCTCTCCATGGCTTGGCCTGAGTTCATGTCCAGGGGAGAGGATGGAGGCATTTAGCACAGATTATGCATCCGTTCACCAAATGCAAGGTGCTGGTGGACTGAAGCAAACACGTTTGGGTACACCAGCAACTTGGCTGTGGCTGCTCAGCACAGAGCCTGGACTAACAGATGCCAAATCTCAGCACAGCTCAACTGCTTGGACAGAGTAGTTCACTGACCTGTACCTCCCCTGAGCTACTAAAGGCACATCTCTGTGATGCTGCAGAAACCTATTCACAGGGCCCAGACTCTGCAGTTAACGTTCTCAGGTGCAAAACACTCGACTTCAGAGTTAAGTCCTCTGTAAGACAAAGCAGCACCAAAAATAAAGATTCTGCTGCTAGGAAGCATCTCAGCTTCTGGAGCAACCACCTTTCCCTTGCTGGATCTAGAAAGGCAGGGAAATTCAGCTCCTTGGCTTCTCAGCAAGTACAAACAAATCTACGCCAGGAGACCTGGACTCCAACCACAGTTGTGGTTCTGCCTTTATGAAACTCTCATTAACATCACCATAGCAACATTATTAGCAGCTGAATAAGAGCATCTACAGCAAGTTCTTCTCATTTGCCTTTGCTATTTCACATCCACACAAAAGCACCAGTCCACTGGAGAGATATGGAATTCATTTTGCCTCCACACGTGTTGCTGGTAAGTACTGCCTGTCACACCCAGGTCAGAAATCAGGTCCCAACACCAATCAGCTAAAGGGACTCCCAGAGACAGTGCCTGCTTGTAATTACAGAGGGCCAGGCGCACTGAGAGCAAAGGGATGCTGCCACTCGGGTTTTGAGTCAAGAATGCACAAAAAGGTGAAAGCAATTGAAGAGATGTGCTTCCAACAGACTAGTATTTACATCAGCAGCTTTGGATTGACTGGCATTGCTGGAATGATTGCAGAGTCAGTGAAGGATTGCATATGGCAACATTAGGGTACTCCTAGCACACTTGGTGCATCACAAAGCCTTATTTCCTAGTGCACCCGTGCCTGCACAGCCATCCCCTCTCTCACTGCTCAACAATTAGTCACTTTGTGTTGATGGGGGTGGGCCTACCTGTACAGGACCTGCAACATACAGGACACGACTCAGGTGTCCCAGTACCATCCACCTCATGCTGCACTAGATGGCCAGGGCACCCACGATGCCCCTTCGGGGCAGGTGAGAGGGGCTGTGCTGACACCCACGCCCCCTTGTCCTGACAGCTACAGGACAGGCAGAACACCAGCACATCTCAAAAGGCATGAAGTAATTATATTTAGGTGGTTGGCCGGAGCTTGTGCCACTGTATGAAAAACATTCCAGGACTTGCTAGAAACTTGCTCCCTCTGGAGCTCCTTCACTTGCTTAAAACTAGACATCCATGGTTTATGCGATAGTGTTTCACCCTAGCAGGCCAGACGAAGTCCCACACACAGATTTCTGCACCAAATTTCCCATCACGAATTTCCCCTTGCTGTCACAGCCACTTATGTGTATAAATTGAACCAAGCTGCCCCCATATTTTTGTAAATCTGTGTCACAAGGGTACCACAGCACCAGCTAACACAACTTTGAGACTTCCTACGTTAGGTGCTAAGTTACAGTTCAAATCATGTCAAGTAATTCCCTAACAGAGCTACTCCAAGTAGCCTACAGCTTGCATGGAAGCACTTACATAAAACACCCCACTCTTTCAGAAATGAAGTAAAAACTTCAAGACCCATTTGACCAAAACTGTAAAGCTAAAATGATGAAGGAAGGGTGTTTTATTGCATCTGGTGTTTTATTGCATCTGGTTTTAGATAAGATTAACATTCAGAATGAAAATTCAGAGGCAATTTTAGCAGAGCTGAGGTGCTTTCTTGGGGTAAATTTCTTTGGCTGTGCACAACCCCCTGCCTTCTGCATTTGTAGGGCATAACTGGAATCCGCTTTGCTGAAGGAGAAAAGTGTTACATCAAAGCTCAGCCAAAAGCTCACGTCCCCGAAGTTGATGCTATGACTAAAGCAAGCCTCTCATCTGAGCTGGTAAGGGGTAATCTAGTTATTTATTTTTCAACTGCTCCTTGTACAGAGAGGGTCCTAAAAGTGGTATTTAAATACAACTAAAAATGAGATTTGAAAGACACCATGGCTAGTTGTAGGGTTGTTGTGGATAGTGAATGATGGCTGAGGATTCATTGACTGGTTGCAAGGGGTCCCTGAAAGGTAAGAAAAGAGAGCTGGGGTCAGACATGTCACTGCAGCCAGGGACATCTTGAGAGGGGAAGCCACAGACTGATCTCTACCAGATCCAGCAGAGACCTCCATGACAAAAGCACCTGCCTGAGATTAGGCTGTGCACAGGGCTGGAAGGGAGAGCATGGAAGAAGCAGCTGCTTTAGTCAATGCAATCATGGTAGATCCCAGGAGATTTCTATCAATGCTCTTGAACAGAAGCATGGACTCCATCACTCAAGCCCTCTGAAATAGTCAATAAATGGGAATTGTGGAAAATATGGCAAAAAAAATCAGGTAACTCAGATGAAATAATAATTTTTTTAAAGTTAAGAAATTGCCTCCTTAGCATCAAACAATTTTACAACGTGGCAACTAAATTTCATAGAATCTGTGTCACAGCCAACAAAAGGGCTGCAGTTCTCACACAGATACCACCAAACCCTCTCCTTACCTCACTTTTGGGGAAAAAAAAAAAAAAAAAAAAAAGCCTATTGCTTTATGTGCACAAAGTCTGAGTTTCCCAGAGCTTAGACCCCAAACCCACCTCTCGCACAGGAGCGGCTCCAGTGACTTGAGTGTGGCTGAGGCTGGACACTGGTGGGGGCTCAGCCACTGTCAGGAGACCACAGGAGATTCATAGCCTCTTTCCCTGGGTTTGCTCTGGTCCCAAGAGAATAAAAGTAGATACAACTAGCTGGGAGAGAGGTGCTGTTAAGGCTGTACCTACCTGCAATGGTGCTGTGATTACTGAACATCTACTTCAAAACACAGGGGAAAAAGGTCTCCAAATCAAGTCAGCAAGGCAGTAGAAATGTTACAAAGGCCCCTGAAGCTGGTGGAATTTTCCCCATGGTGGGAAAGAGAACTTGCACACATTCCAGACAGAGAGCTCCATCTTTCCTGCCTTGCCTTATTTTAAAGGCAGCTGGGCTTCCTGACTTCACAGCACCATTGCCTAAAGACAAAGTTTGAATTTTTCGTCTTTTTGTAAGAACAAAGTCACAGACCTGAAGATATTATGTTAAAACAGTTAAATTTCTAATATTTCCAATACTTTACCTGTTTCCTTGTCCTGCTTTTTGTGCATTTCCTCCAAAGATGCATCACCTACATGACCACTGCAATGAATCGACTCAGTGCTATCATTAAGATATTAACCTTTCCCTGATATTCGACTTTCCAGGCTAGATGTACAACAGGAATGGCAAAGTAGTATTTATTTTTCTAGAGCAAGTCCTCTCTCTCACATGCAAGTATTTAGGAGAAAGTATGCATATGCTGTTTTCTTACAACACGTACCATAACATTGCCTACAAAAATGGTTGAGTAAAGTGAGCTTTTATAGATACCTAAATTCTAGCGGCTCACAAGTCAGGATCATCTCAAACAGAAACAAAGGGTATTTTTATTTTTGAAAACTAGACTCAGATATTTCTGATGTTGATAAAAGCTTAAGTGAGAGAATATAAATAAAGAGCAGTAGACAGATTGGAAAGCAAACTTAAATGACTTGAGACCTACAAAAGAAATCAATAAACACACTAAAGAAACAACAACTCAAGGGAATAAATTGATCTAGTCAGTTATGTAACAAGTTTTGATGACTTTTATGAAAGCAATTTAGAATTTTAACTTTGAAACCATACTGGTTTTCATGATTCAGAAGTTGGTTTTCTTTTAATATTTCACTGTTGCTATAAAATACTTACACATTTTATGTAAAATAATACTTTGAACTAACAACTTTAAAGAATCAATCACTGGCATTTTCCTGCATTACTTTGAAGATATGAACCAAAAACCTGCAGGGTACACTTCAAAAAGGCAGGCTCCTTTAACTTGCTCTTCAAGTTTTTGGTCAATTGAATTGCTTTTACCAAACAAGACCTTTAATCAGACCGATCACGTTGACTTAGAACTGGAAGCTGGAGCAGTTCTCAAGCTATAATCCTCTCTAAAACTTTTGAACAAGATTCTGCCCGCCATCCCCTGCACACATTGTAAATACAGTTATATTGGGAGTACATCAAATGAGAACGGGGCATAATAAAAGATTAGGGGCTTGGGGTTTGCTGGAGTATTTCATTGCTGCTTTGCTGAAGGTGGTAAACTTTCACAGTTTCTACCACTGTAATTCTGATGCTTTGCGCTGAAAAGATCTCTGACACCCAGCCCTTGCACATGGGGGAAAAGCCTTCCAGGAGCGAGGTGGGTGAAATCATAGCCCCAGCGGAGCAGACAGTCATTTTGCCCTTTGTTTCAGCTGTGGCAGCCTTTCCCCAGGCCTTGGCTCTGTACAGTCAGTTCACATTCGTGCAACAGAAGGATGCTCAGTATTAGTTGCAGCAGGTGATTATACACTTTGGTGCTCAAGAATTAACAGAAAGCAGGCGCATGACTGCTCACTGAGCAGCAAAGGATTTACACTCTTCTACTTGCAGGAAGATGAAATCATGCCTGTGAGATTTGACAAAAACTCCCTTATCTGGGTGGCTGCAGATGAGCCTATCAAGCATAACAGCTTCCTAAGCCCCAAGATTTTAGAGCTTTGCGGGGATCTTCCAATTTTCTGGCTGCGACCAACATATCCCAAAGGTAACACTTCTTTTCTTTAAAACGTACGTTATCCCTCCCTTCATCTAAATGCCTTCCCTACATCAAGTTTGCCACTGAAACTTGCACATCTGGGAAACCAGACTACTCTCCTCCCTTGCCCAGCCTGTTTTCCCACGCCTTTGTGGGTTCATGCCGAGATTGTGGGTTTGAAGTTTATCCATTAGAGATTTTCCATACTTGTATTTCCTCAGACAATTTATACAGCCCAGGTAGGTGTCTACGAGATTAAACATTCCCAGAGAAATCAGCCTCCTTCCACAGAATGACAAGAGCTCAAACTAGCCCCCAAAATGTTGAGGTGGCTGACACCAGGTAGCAGGAACACTATACCTGGCCAAGAGTTGGGGAATATCAAGCTCCTGGCCTGGGACCATAGACTGTCCTGTTTTCTATCCTGCTTCTCCAGAGGATTTCAGTGGAGTGCTTTAAGTTACCCAACTGGTGGATGGTTTATGAGGTCCTGGGGGCAGTCCCAACACTGAAGCACTCTTGTCACCCAGAGCCAAGCTTAGCAAAGGTGTTCAGGAGTCATGAGGGAGACAGCAACTTCGCCACGTGACTTCCAGGCCTAGGAGAAGAAAAGGCTTGAAAAGATTTATTCTTCCTTGGTCCAGTTAATATCAGAACACTTGGGTAGGACAACACAAGCCAAAAAAAAATTCACCACATTTTAGAGCACCCGGGGATCCAAGCTACCAACATTTTCCACTTTCCTCATGACCTAGCATATCCCACTGGGCAACAAAAGACCAGTATCAAAGCTGTCCAGAACCTGTTTCCACCAGGTTCCCCAGGTGCCCTTGAGAGCAGGGCACCATTATGTCATAAAAGCATTTTTAAAAAATGAGATGTGTATGACTGATCTTGCTATTGCTAGCAACTGCTGTTGACAGAGCATCAGTGACCACAGAGTGGGTCAAAACCCTCCCAACCAGTCTTTTCACACACATTTTGCCTCAAGGAGGGGAAGAGGGGAGGGAAAAAAAGGAATCACACTGCTTTGGATTGACATTGGCTGCAGATACAACACAGAAAGGCAAGCAGCTCCCATGGGGATGCTCGTGGTTTACTAATGCACAGTTTTGGCTTTCTCTCTGCCCTCCGTCCTCTCCTTTTTTCAACATTTAAGAAACCACTGAAACATCAGATAAATACAAGGAACCTTGTATTTATCTTTACTTTGAATGTTCAGGGTAAGATTATCCTCTGGTGATTACTTCTTCAGATAACCAAAGGAGAGAAATGAAGAGAAACAAGCGCCAATCAGGATCAAACTTTGATGAGGAAGACTTGGAAGGTGTTGCTGAAGAACTAAACCCCAGGCCACCTACTGTGCAACTGAGTCAAGAGCTTGATCACCAGTCTAATGAAACCAGGCCAATGGGACAAGAAACTGAGCAAACATTTAATCCAGATAACCCATATAATGTAAGTATTCACACTGCAACTCTTCTTTCAGAGCTCAGATGGTGATGTGGGATCTTTTTTTTTTTTTTTTAAATCTGCACAATTTTGCCTGTTCAGCTTTACTCTGAAATAACAGACTTTCAAAACACCTAAGAAGCTAAAGAAGTCTTCCCTCAGTACTCTTCTCCCAGTTTTGACTAGATTTCAGTCTGAAACAAGCACAAGTGCTTGAGGTCACAAGGTTAAAGCAAGTTTATGCCAAGTTGCTTTTTGGGGTTTCCAGGTCCATACAGAAACAGCACTGGAGATCTGACAACAAGGATAGCACCTTCTGAAAACAAACCAAAGCTGGTCTTGATCAGACAGCTGAACCCCATCATTTGCTATATGAAGAGAGTTCAGTAGCTAGAAACATGCTTTGCTCTCAAACAGAAATTAGTATCACAAGTGACTACTACAGAGGAAAGCAGTAGCAGTGTCTGGTTGCAAAGAGATTACAGTCCAGCCAAGTAAATTTGTTTTTTCAGCCTCTTCTCTATCAGGGTAACCAACTCTAGCCTAGCAAGCAACTGGCAGAGGAGAATCTGTTTAGAGACAGCAACAGTGGGTGGAGGACGACTACCATAAAACTCGTTCTCACCCTTGGAGAAGTAGCAGCCCACAGAGAGAGCACGGGAGCCATCCTGCTGTGTCCCAACACCTCTGCCGCGCTGCAGGAAAGCTGGCTGTACAGTAGGCACCTTCCAGTCTACTGCATCAGCGCCAGACAATTTACACCCATCATTTGGTGCAGCAGGAGTAAGTCATTTTAATACAACACTGTCACAAGATAAATGCCTCCTGCTTTGGAAGCAAGTCCCAGCTTTGACTTGACATTTATGCAACAGCAGGAGATCATTATACTGTGACAGTATTCTGCCGAGTTGACATCCCTTAATTAAACTTAAATTAATCACTCCAAATAAAGTGGATCTAAACTGACTCTCTCACGAGGTCAGTAGAACAGCACTGGCACTGGAATGTAACTTCCCCTCACAGCTACTAACGTTACCACGTCCATGAGGTCTGAGCTGCCCTGCCTCTGGAGGGCAGTGGCAAAGCAATTGCCACAGGTCTGTTCTTCCAGCCAAGGGCTGCCAGGCCAAATGGAGAATGGTCAGTCAGATAATGGCCATCAGATCTCCCTCAGCCTGCAGGGAGGGATTCACCTTCACCAACAGTTACTGCACAGATGCCGATATCCAAGCTTCCTTAGAAGCCAAATACTTTGATTGAAAAGGATCATTAATTACACTGTAGATCTTTCCTGAAGAATGAAATGAATCCTCCCTAGAGCTGTTTCTCTTCACCCACTGTAAGTGAAGCCGGGACAATGAGCTCAGGTGTAGAAAATCACAGTGTAGGTATCTGAATTCAAGGATGATGAATCCCGACCAAGGAAGCGACATCCTCCCTGCTCTCAGGACTTCGAATGAGTTGCTAGGGTCCCAAACAACACCCAGCTGTCACCAGTGTCCCACACAAGCCCAGTCAAGAGATGGCACCTTTCTGTGTCCCACATTTTGGTTGTGCTGCTAGTTTTATGAATGAAAAATGCTCAAGTAAAACGCTGAGTGGTACTTCAGTATTTGCTCTTTGCTGCTGCTTTTCTTGAAATAACACCAATGGGCAAAGAACAACTGAGTTTCAGAAAGCAGAATATCCAGGTTACCTTTTTCTCACAGAAAGGAGGAAAGGAATTTTGAAAGGTAAAGGCTTTTATGTATGCTTTGCTCCATTTAACTCCTTACTGTCACCTACAGAACAGGCAGAATTCTCACTGTCCACAATGCACCTAAGTGTGGTGGGGGTGGGTGGGAGGGAAGGAAGCAGACAGAGATGAGGGAGAAATGCTCAGAAAACTGCAGGGGTACCAGGGGAATACCTTACAGAATAGTTTCCTGGGATTGCTGTAAAAATCATTAAAACACAAAAATTAAAACAAAACATAAAAGACACAACATATACTTCCGGCACTGTCACCTACATAAAAGACTGAGATAACTGTCTTGAAATCTTTTTCATCACTAATATTTAAAACTCGGGAGCTTTCTGTTTCTGGATCTTTTGCAAGGACTGTAGAAGAAAAACAAGGAAGTTAGAGTTGCCTGTTGTTCTTTCCATTTTACATGGGTGATTGCACCAATTCAACACTTCTGCCAAAGAGAGCAAGACAAAAGAAAAAAAAATAATAATAAAGCAAGATGCACGGGTCACTTAGTGGGAGCTTAGTTAACTTCCACAGGCCCAAGATCTCAGTTTTTACCCTTTGTGGGGTTAACAGGAGCATGGGTATGTTCTGCCATTCTGTGAGAATGAGAGCACCAGGATGACATTTAATATTTTCCGTTTCAGCAGCTGGAAGGTGAAGGGATGGCTTTTGACCCCATGCTGGATCACCTGGGCGTGTGCTGCATTGAGTGCCGGCGCAGTTACACGCAGTGCCAGAGAATCTGCGAGCCCCTCATGGGCTACTACCCGTGGCCCTACAACTACCAAGGCTGTCGCACCGCCTGCCGAATCATCATGCCCTGCAGCTGGTGGGTTGCTCGCATCATGGGTGTTGTGTGAGAGAAAGCCTTGACAAAAAAAAAAATTTAAAACAAAGTTGGGAGACTCGACAACATAAGCAGGAATGTAATGACGACAAACTGGTAACAGACCACAACCAAAGCAGCAGTGCTGATCCTGGATTTCAAAATCAAAGTATGTTTTACTGCACCAGAAGCAAGGTCAGATATTCTAACTTCGAATTAAAGTCTTAAGTTAATATTCTATTAGGTTTACAAGTGACAAGGGTATATTAGCACTTGCTGAATTAAAAAATTGAGACATCCCCCTTAAAAAGACAATATTAAACTTTGCTCACAAACTGGTTTAGCATTCCATAACCTTGCCCGTAAACTCAAACTCAGCCTTTAATAACAAAATCCTCTCTTTCCAAGCTACATGTGAAAATTTACGTCCAATTAGGCAACTAGCTCAACTTGTACACTTGGGAGTGCCTTTCATCCATGTAGCTTAGTTAAATAAATCACAAGTTAAGTTGCTCCCCGTTGCTATTCGGAGTTGCCAGGTCACTATGAATGGTTATAAACCAATTACAGCATACCTTTCCCACAAAGCTGCTCCAGGGGACACGGGAAAGCACACATTGTGCTAAATCGGAAACAAACAGCAGGAAAAGGGGCTGTAGAAGGGAATGTGCGTGGCTGCAGAATCAAAACCCTTCACACATCCCAACATCAAAGAAGCCCCAGCATCAAGAATCTTGTATCCATGATACCACCGTAGTGTCTAACAAGTATCTGCTATCCAGTTAGTACAGCAAGAGTATTTACATGCAGTTGCAGACCAAAGAGCCTCAAGACCCTTCAGAAACTACAACAGCCACTGTTATTTATAAATCCTTAGATTAGACACTTTTGACACAAGATTACAACCCCTCTTTATTCCACATGGATAGCAGCCATTCACACTAGCTCCTTCAGCTTTGCTGAAAATAACCTCCGTTCCCTGAAGACAAACTGCTTACCAGCAAGGAGGGAAAAATAAAAAAAAAAAAAAAAAGGAAAAAAAAAAGGGTTTCTCACCTCACCCTTTTTGCTTTAGGCAAACTCTGCAATTATTGGGATTGATCCTATTACATGTTAAATCTCCAAGGAAGGTACTAAGCCAAAACACTCAAAGATGCAATGGCTTAGTATTTCTAGCCTTGAAAACCAAAGATAGAGGTATTATACTGCCTTCATCCATACTATACATCTTGAACCCTACCACCGAGTTTACAGAGCCACCTAGATGGTCTTTCTGAACAAAAGGGTCCAATTTTTCTTAAAGTTCACTTTCTGGAGCATTCACTTTTTTGACTAAACAGCTCTTGAGATGTTGCAAGCCCAGTAATGTTATTAACACTGCGTGACACACAGAAAAGAGGAATTAATTTGACATAATCATGGCTTAAAGAAAATAAAGGCAACCTCATGTGAAATGCTAAACTGCATATCTAAAAAGCAAAATGTTAAAAGAGAATAAGATGAGACTAGAATTCAGTATTTTGCTCTATTGTAGCTTTTTTAATGTAAGCTTCACCTTCCCTTAATCTGAAGGACAGATGCGCTTTGAAATATTTAAATTATAAACTTCTTAAAAGTGGGATTTCAAGGCCTGTTAAATTTGAGTTTCTCCTTTATAAACTAAAAATGACCTTGATCATTATGTTGTTTTAGCAGTACGTCATTCATATGCTTAGAAAAGTCGGTTTTCCTTTTTTTTTTTTACTGCACAATAAACAAATACATTAAAAAACAACAATCGCTTTCTGTGCCTTTTTCAATGTAGAATCTAACAATTCCTTTACATACTCATTCAAGAACTGTCTAGAGAGGAAAGGAAGGGGATCAGCACGAGAAACACTGAAGGCAAAAAGAGGGAAATGTGACTACAGCTGAACTAGACTGTTGCTGTCTTTTGCATCTTCAGGCAACCTGTGACCTGCTTCTCTCTGTCTCCCCCCATAAACAAAGTCTCCTTCGGAAGATATGGAAAATCTTTTCGTAGGTGATTTACCTGTCTACACATTCTCAACAGAATTGATTCTTCCTAAACAAAAGCTTGCATCAGCTGCTTTCTACAGGCAGTCACAAAGCATGTAAGAAGTAAAAAAAAGCATCCTGCTCATGGATGCGTTAAACTGTCACATACAGCATGTACGTCTTGAGAGCACTTCTGTATGCACCATGCCAATGAAGCCCCAGTGATCATAAAATTTATCCATTTCCAAAAGATACGCAACAAGATGCCATCCCCAACTCAAGTTTTAAACAAGCAAATTCCTATTTACCTTCATATCAGATTCAACGAAAGAAAAGTAAAGGTCTTGTGCTGCAGCAAGGTTGAAAAGTCTTACTTCAGCACATCATCTAATTTTGAAGGCAAAGCTCTGAAGTGACACAGGAACGACAATAAAATCAACAAGCCAACAGTATGAAAAGACACAGTAATATTCCCTGCAGTGGTGGCTCAGTCTTCAGCTCTAACTCTCCGGAGTGATCTGATTCACTGCTGTACAGTATTTACTACCCACGTTGAAGTTTTTCGCTGCCACCACAAATATAATACCTTGGCACACTAAAGGCGTACCAACATGTCAGCATTTGGGGGGTGGGGGGGGGGATGTTCCTTCAATCTGACCCTCTGCTAGATGAAACCAGCTGAATCCTTTTGGACAAAGTTTAGGGAAGGAGGATAGAAAGAGGAACAACCTTGTCATCAACAGTATTTCCCACCACAGGTGGGCGGATGTTTGTCAGAGCACTGCAATTCTACTATCCTTAAAACTTAATTACCCATGTGATTGTGTACTAGGAAGATTAGGATGGCAGAACAGATTACCGCAGAAAAAGGGGATAACTTCAGGCTGGTGGAAAAGAGAAGAAAAACAGGAAGCAATGCCATAGGGTTAAAAAGACTGAAAGCCAGTGATGGGCAGGCAGGAGTCTCTTTTCTGAATGTAGTTTGCTTTCTCCCCACTTAAAAACAAATGAAGCAGAGTCTCTCCCTTTGTCCTTTTTGATACAGGAATCACCCTCCACTTGTATCTACACTGAAAAATAAAAAGAAGCTGTGAGGCATGGAAATGGGGGTAGGGGGAGGAATCTGTCTTCTGCCTCCCACGTAACACTTTACCCCTACTGCAGCACAAATCAATTCCAAGGAAGTTTCTGTGAAGACTTATTGGCATAAAACTACAGTTGGCCAAGAACAAACTGCTGATTGACACATTAGGGTGAACAGAAATCTCTGCTCAGAAAGGGCAAGAGTTAGCCTGAACCAGGAGCACCACCATCTTCTGCTTCCAAGATCAAGTGATCTTTTATAAACACTGTACATATACCAGAGGAGAGACACAGCCTTAAGTTGCAACAGACAGGCATCGTTCCCCAGAACAGGAACAGAGTAACCCCCTCTGTGGTATTACATGGGAAATCTACTGTTACCTCTCACTGTCCTGTTCCCATGTTTGCGACAGACATACAAATCAGAGCGCTAAGGTGAAACCACCTGGGTCTTCCACACAATACTATTTACAGATGACCAAAAGGCTTGGGGGAAAAAGCCCTCACGAGGTTTGAACACAATTTAAACATCATCCACTCTGTCCTTGCATGGACTCATTGCCACTGTTTCTTTCAGAGCATCTATTCAACCTCCAAGCTCCCGCTAGCTTTCTCTGGAGCTAGGGTTTCTGGAAACGTTCTGTCTATGTTTTGTTAAGAACAAAACATACTGTTCACAAAGTTCATGAAGCACCTTCTCCCCAGCTCTGTAAGAAAATTTCACCTACTGCTGTAATCCAATCTCCTCCAAACAGAAAAAAAATCCAAAACACACGCACACATCCCTGCATTCCCCTTTCCCCAAAAGCAAAAAGAGCTGCATTACTGGTTCATCTAAATTCTGAAGTGGAACATACAGAGATTATCTGCCTGTGCTCAGAAACATGCCAGAATTATGTTTAGACCTGCAAACTTGGCTTATAGGATTGAGATGGACAGGGAGCTCTACCACTTGATTGCTACAAGTTTTAGCCTGGAGCTAAAGCATTGTATTTGCATTACATAGGCCTCAGGAGTACGTAAGTAGCAATGCTTTTTATTTTACTTTTCGCCTTAAGCCAAGTGAATTGAAGCTCAAAGCAGTGAAACAGTACCCACTTCATTACAAGAATATATTGTGCTTATCTGACAAAATACTCCCATGGTCTTTCAATAAGTGAAAGTAGACAGAGGTACCTCTACTGTGTTCTCTTCAGTAAGAACAACTTGATTGGCAGAAAATATCCTCACATTACTTTTTAATTTCTATTTAAGAGATTTTTATCTAGGCTTTTCCCCATAGCAAGCCTTTGTTAAGCACTGTTAAGTGCTCTGAATGACATTTATAAAGCAAGGTTGGCCAGGAGACAGGAACCCAATTTTCTGACAAAGAGAAGCACTCAGACATTTGTCTTCCTTCTACATTAGAAAGGAAAAAAAAAAGCTTTTCAGGGAATAAATAAAAAGCAGCAAAGCACTTATCCAGGAGAATCGAGTTCAAGTACCTATCCCAAATCAAGTCAACTTCAATGTTAGCATCCCATATGGATGGCAAATGCTCCACATATTGAGCTACTCGGAATTCTCTGAAGGTCAAGAAAAGCTCCACTGAAGCTAACAAATCACTGAAACGGGCCTCAAGTATATTCTTGGAGAAACTCTTCCAAGAAGCAGACCTTGTTCAGTACGTGTCAAGAGGTAAGGCACACACAAAGCCCCTCCTAAATCCAATCCACCTCAGTTCATAGTGTTCAAAGAGCAGTATGACATTCAGTTCTGAAGGTTATCAAATTTGAGCTTTTCACACTGCAGTAAAGTAACATATTCAATACAAAGAAAACAGGTAGAGTAACAAACAATGAGGAAAACTGTACATAATTAGGAAAGCAAGGAAAAGTAGCAATGGTTAGTAAGGAGTGAAGTGGCTTTCAGGGTGCTGTAAACATTTGCAATTCATGGTGTTTTCTATGATCACAGAATATTTAGGTACCTCTGAATTCCCAGAAGACAGTGGCACATGGGCTAGGCATATTTAGCACAACTTTGTGAGTTCATGTCTCTTTCACAGAATTACAGAACAGTTGAGGATGGAAGGCACCTGTGGAGATCACCCTGCCCAACGCCCCTGCTCAAGCAGGGACACCTCAAGCCAGGTGCCCAGGACCATGTCCAGGTGCCTTTTGAGCTTCTACAGGCCCTTTTAGACTTTTATCCAGGTAGTACAAACACAGACAGTACTTACAGTCTCGGTTCTTCTGTAAATATTCTCTGTATATATTTACAATATGGTCATGACAAAAAAAGCTGCACAATTAAGGACATACAGGTTCTTCTCTAAACAGACTCCAGTATTCAGTAATTACAGAACTTGAAGCAACTGCTTGCTGTCTTTGATTTCAGGCAATTGCAAAAGATCCTTCTTTTGGAATACAGAAGGCAGACAGGGAACCCATTTTTCTCTAAGAATTTCCAGTCACATCAAATTTTCTACCTTCCATCACTTATTACTACAGTTCAATATATCACCAAGGTGGAAGGACTCCAAAAGTGGGTATTTTGTGTCTGCATCAAGAATAGTAATGTCATCCTCTTCCCTAAACGCCCATTTTACTCCTATACATGCCAGCTTTTTTTTTTTAAGCAGTGTATTCACATCCTCACCTGTATGTTCTTAGTGGTTCCCCCAATAGAACCCAAGAATACTAAAAATGAAATAAAGCAACTTCTGTATAGAAAAAGTTGTATTTACAGTTTTATTTAGCAGAGTTAAAGAGCAAACAATTTTACCACTGCTGTTGAAAAGTGTTTTTACCCAAAGTTGCCAAGATCTAATAAGTTATTGAACAGAAATACCAGGTGTAAGGCAGTAATCCTGACCAGCCATTAGAGATCACCCTATCCCAAAGAGCAGAGCTGATAAAGGCGGTAGGAAATTTGGACTGACTGACTCAATTTCCAGAAATTAGACAGAGATGACAAAAAATAGGGCTCCACTCTTGAATATATCTTTAACATCTGTGGATGAAGGAATTTCTAGAGCACGCAAAATGTAAGGACAATTCCTGTTTTCAAGGGAACATTCAGTGCTTTGAATCCAAGAATGCTATGTCCATACACAGTGGTCAGTACATGACTAGGGCAACACACGGATGGTAAAGATCAAAAATAGGATTAGAACTTTTTCCATTCCACGTCATCAGGAGGATTTACTTCTACCTTCCTTTTACCGACATCAGACCAGTTGGTGCTCAGAACTGTGCCGCCAGACTCCATCTGCAACATGAGAGAAAGCTTGTTTAGTTTGCTAGAGAACTCTAGTAATAAAAAAGCCACAATTCACAGTAAGCTTCATAGAGTAGTGATTACACAGGAAATTCTGTCCATGCAGAATGAAGTTTGACAAAGCCATCATTCTGTCACCTACAGCTCAACAGTACTGTTATCAGTACTGGACACAGTGAGATGCTACTTCATTAACAAGAAGGGTCAGCCATGTTCTTCCCTGTGATGACTGCAAATTAATGTAGATACAAGCAATCAAGAGGAATTTGATCCTTTCAAGCTCTGTACAAGCCAAACCCTCCGTTTCCTTTGATAACACTGATTGAAATGAAGAGACCAGTGACAAAGCATGACCTTGGACTTAGTCACATTCATTAGTGCTCAGAATTGTAGCTTTCAAT